CATTCGGACTTCTTGGGACTGACGATCCTAGACCATAAGGGCCAGACGGTCCACATCCACATGGCATGAAATATGGAGACACCGGAAGAGACAACCCGGAATAAAGCGATGCTGCTGCTGCAGCGCGGCTGCCGGACTATAAGTCGAATAAGGACTTGTGCTGCTGAGAGGTTTGAAGGAATGCAATAATCCGGCGTCACTCGTCGTGGAGGATCCGGCCGAGGACAGTTTCCATCAGGATCGGTCCTGTCTTCAGACGGGGATAACCTGGATACTGTTGCTGTGGGAGCCGTGGTGCTGATGACAGCAGTGGGTGTACTTTGGAAAATGGAATCCGCAGAAGAGGGAGAAGTCCGGGCATGGGAAGTCCTGATGAAGTGGGAGCACCAGGAAAGAAACTCCTGGGGAAGTTCATCCCCAGGTAGTCTATGGGAGTTGACATGTATGGCAAGGGGAAAGGAAACCTGTCCTTTTTGAGCAAAGTTTTGGGTTTCCTCCTCGGCTTGTACTTGTAATCAGGATGCTCCTTCATGTGCAAGGCTCTGAGACGTTTGGCTTCTTCGATGAATGGTCTTTTCTCAGATTCTGATAAGTGTTTCCATTCTGTCCCCAGTCGTTTGCTGATCTCTGAATTGTGCATCTTGGGATTTTCCAAAGCGATCTTACGTCTCTGGGCCCTGGACCAGACCATGAAGGCATTCATGGGCCGTTTCACGTGCACCTCACCCGTGGCAGTGTGGCGTGTGGTGGGCAGGCTCATGTCGGGGGGATCAGTGGCCTGTCGCTCCCACCACGCGGCGACCCTGCGAAACGCCACCGTCGTCGGATCTTCAATCCTGTACACCTCAATCGCGAATGTTCAGTGGTGCAGCAAGCAAGAAAAAAATTGGCTTTCACACGGAAAGTTGGCGACTTATCAAGAAATTGATTGTTCGAGATGTTGAGATATCAGCCAATGTCCGAAATGAGTACACAAATTATTTTTTCCTCCGGAAATTCTCTTTCGACACAAAATCTGAAACTTGAATTTCAGTTCACGTCATATTTACTTAAATGTCAAAGCAAAGTGCATTTAAATTTCTTCAGAAGTCTCAAAGTGCATTTACAGTTACGACTTTCGGCAATCCATTCGAAAAATTCCTTAATATGTCAAACGATATTTCGAAATTCGAAGGAATAAATTTCACCAAAAAAAAAATTCTGTAATGTGCCTAATTGCTTTATAAATGATTTCGGCAGAACTGTCAAAGATTCGGTAACAGAATCGTGAAAATTCGAATTCGCTCGAAGGAGAAAAGAGCGGGAGTATTCGTGGAGAGCCTCTTCGAACGCAGCACGTGCCTACTGCCGCGTAATTATCGTTTGCTCGCAACTGTCGGGAACTCTGAATCGGCAGACCTGACCGGCAGCCAGATTCTACCACTTTATTTAAACACGTGCCGCTGGAATCGCGAAGTCTCAGCTTTAGATTCCAGTTTGTTAGCTTCCAGCCAATGGGAGATCAGCTTACAAGACGAATGATGAGGCGGAGCTATGAGGAACGCTAAAGTCTGCGATTCGTCGCTCAGGAGATGGGCAGTGGCCCTGGTGTGAAAGGCAGTTGCAAGACAGTTTCGGAATGTAGTTTGTCTTGTTTTCTTTGCGCTTTGTTGAAGTGAGTAAGTATATAAAGTTTCGATAAAGTTCTTTTTTTAAAAAATTAATCACACATTTAATTTCTCAGAGATTCAAAGATGAGAACACTGACTATTTCATACAATGCAGGTAAAAAAGAAGAAATACAATATTTTAAATATACGTCATATTTATATATACTAAGAGAACTAATCAATCTTCATAATTTTATTCAGTTGTGCGAGCAAGAATCAAAAAAGGTTTTTTTTTTCCTAAAGAGTTGTTGAAAAAAATCTTTAAAATTTTATAATTTTGTTTTTTTGGTCATTAACTGAGAACTTATTTTAAAGATATCTTATTAATCTTTGTCATATATTTATTTGAATATTCAAAACAACTTGATGTCTCAAAAATATTTAAAGCAATATTTCTAAAACTATGCATTTTTTGTGTAAATAATACAATTAGATTCAACAAATATTCACATAAATTTGAAAAATTAAATTTTCAAAATTTAAAATATTGTAAAATTTACTTTAAAATTACTTCGTCTAACGAAAAAGCTTTTTTAAGAGCCTCTATTTTACGAGTGAAACTTTTTTTTTTGTTGATTTAAGATAATCTATTTTAAAAAATTCATATAATTCATCCATGGAGTCAGTCATATCTCACTTATTTAACATTCTGAAACTAAAAGATAACAATAATAGCATAATTATTCTAAGTTTTCAAGAAAGTTTCGTAAATATTTTTATCTAAAATGTGTGTGCATGCTTTTTTTTAATTACTGGTTATTTAGAACTAGCATGCGGGAAAGGGGAAACTCGGTTATGAACCTTCGAGAATTAAAAATTGCTGAAATAAAATCATTTATTACATCTCTGATTTTCATTTGCTAGTAAATCTATTATTAACGATGGAATCAAATTTATTCAATGATAAAAAAATTTATTTAAGAAAATCTGATCTTAAAAGACTAACATAGAAGATTTTCTCATCCTAAGGTAAAAACGAAATACAAACAAGGTAATATCAAAAAAAGTTTGGTTTTAAAAATAGCCGGGAAAAAAAATTAAGAAAGATTACTTTGAAGATTTCATGAAAACAAAATTTCTTCCTAGTTATTTTAAAATTCGGCACATGATTCTTACTTTTTTTTAGTTTTGATTGATTATAAACTTTATTTATATGAAAACGTATGGCAAAAAAGGGGGGGGGGTCCCGGTCGGCCCCCCTCCCCAAACCCGCTTTTAAGGGGTTTAACGTACCCCCAAAAATTTTTTCAAGGGGATGGGTTGGTTTAAATTTTTGTTTTGCTATTTTGTTTTTCGTTTTAGAAAAAAACACAGTAAATAATAAATTTTTAAATAAATAATTAGATTAAATTTAAAAAAATTAACTTTTAAAAATATTTAAAAAATTTTCGTATTTAAAACAATTGGAAAAAAAAACAAATACTTTGGGGGGGGTCCGGGCCCCAGGAACCCCTTTGTCGCCCCGGGGTTTAAAACTTTTATATGTCAGAAATTTAATTATTTGATCCCGGGTAGTTTCTGAATGGCCCTGTATCAAAATTCCTTCGGGGCCCCATTTTAAAAAAAAAGTCCCTTTTTGGGATTGTAGTTAACGTTTGGGCCCCCGGGGGGGCCCCGTATCGGACGGGTGATGTTGGACTCCCCCTTTTTTGTTTTTTAAAAAGATTAGTTTTATTTATTAATTCAACTAAATTTTTCAATAATTAATTTTTACCTTTTATTCGAAAAAACCAAAAACAAAATAATGGGGTGAATATTACGGATACTGAAAGTGGACTTTCCCCTGCCCCCCCTTTTGGAAAAAAGGGGGCCACTGAATCTAAAAAGGGGGGAAATTTAAAATTTTATAGGTTTCCCCACATAGTTCAATATGTATAATTTTTTTAAATTTTTTTTCTTTTTTTTTTTTCCTTTTTTTTCCTTTTTTTGAAAATTAAGATCTTTACTGATAAAAGCAACAATGTGGATGGCCATAATACACACGTAGATAGAAACTTTTTCTAATAATTTCCTACTTTACGCGAATCAGTAGTCTAAATCAGTGCTTCTCTACCTTTTCATCGCCGAGGACCAGTCAGCGTTTGATAATTTTACAGCGCCCCATTGAGGGTGGATAGTTAAGGTATGGACCTACGTTCGGAACCGTGATTTTACAAAAGCGTATAAATGGATAATATTTATGATATTTATTAATCACTTAGAATATAAAATGTAAATAAAATTGTTTTAAGAATAGTATTACATTAAAAAAATTACTTAAGTACAATACTTTGACAAAAAATGAACATAGAATGACCCATTTTCAAAATATTCTCCTTTGCGAAAATGCTTCTATTATAATAATATTTTGCCTGTATATAGCTCAGACCTCTGTACAGAGGCTCAACTAGAATTTTTGAAATATATAGCATAGAAGTGGGTTTATCCATGTTTTGCGACAACAGAGGGGAGAAATTTTATGAAAAAAATACCGATAATTATTTTAATTGGTTGCAACTCTGAAAATTAATGTGAATTTTTTAAAAATCCTAGTTCAGAATCTCTGGAGAAGTGTTTGCTTTATATAAGCACACACACACACAAAATATTATTATTTTAGAAGCATTTTTTTATAAAAGGAGAACATTTTGAAAAAAGGTTATTCTAAGTTAATTTTTTGCCAAAATATTGTATTTAATATTTTTTTTGTTGTTGTTAAAATGTCCTTAAAACAATTTTATACATGTATTTTAATCTAAGTGACACTAAATATCATGAAAATTATCCATTTACGCGCTTTTTTAAATCACGGTACTGAATGTAGTCTCATACCTTAATCGGCTATGTTTTAGATTGTTTTGATTTAATAATTTTAATTTAATTGTATTTATATATATATAAATGTGCTTTAAGAATAAAATACAGTTACACTAAAAATGAATGTAAAGTGATTTCCCTAGCAAGTTACATAAACTCGAGAGCAATACACCATAGTAAATAAAATGGACATAATTTATTGTTCCTCAGGTGGCCCGGTACCATTTTATTCATGAACCGGTACCGGTCCGGGGCCAGAGACTGATGACCACTGGATTAAATCAATAGATAATCAAAAAAGGCGGGGTTTTTTTTCAATTCCTACTAGTAGTTCATACTTCTCTATATTTATATATCTTGTTCAAATTTTCAGTCGTTAATGAAATACTTTGTATTCATCCACTCAAGTTCAAATACATTTTTTAAAATTTTTAGCGGATGACATTTGATGTTAATACAGATTTTTCAAATATTAATTCATTAATTAATGAATAAATAGTAACAAACAAAAATAATAATTCAACACCCTATTTAGAAAGGAAAACCGCTCGTTTTGTCCCTGTAGCGCAATGGATAAGCGCTTCGGACTTTTAATCCAATGGGCGTGGGTTCGAATCCCACCTGAGAATGTTATTTCTTTTTGCTGTTTTATTAGAATATTTAAATACAATTAATGAATAAATAGTAACAAACAAAAGAAAAACAGTCCAACACCCTATATAGAAAGGAAAATGAAAATTTGCAAGGAAAATCGCTTTCTATCCTGTCACTTAACAGTGTGATTCTGTCTTATGTTTTTTTTTATATTTATAATAATAGTAATTATTTAATAAAAAGTAATTAAAATAAAATTTCTTTTTGATGACCTAAGAAGAAATTGACTTAATTTTTTTATATTACTTGTTTTATATATGAATCTATTATTTTATCATTTTAATTTAATAACAGAAAACGTATTTCTTTTTTACTTGTCTATTACTTTTAGCATTAAAAAACCAAAATTTGATAATTAGTATTTATATTCTTATTTAGTTGTGTAATTTATTTTTAGATAGATCAAATGTTTGATTATATCTGTTTAATTGTGATTTCTTACGTGTAACTTTGTTAAATGCTCTTTTATGACAGATATTTTGAGAAAAATTTCTTCCAAATAAAGATTTCTCATCCCTAAGTTAGAGCTTTACAATATGTTACTGGCGATGAGCTACATAAATTTAGTTTGCAGTCAAGTGATGAGGAGGGCACTTGAGTTAGTATCACATTTTTCAAACTTTCAAAACACTCCACATTAAGCTTTGAAGGTGAAATTATTGTTAACGTCCAGTGATTCCTATTTATCTGCCCCGTCATGTAGAAGGGATTGTCCTCACGTTAAATTTGTCAAAACTCAAAGTCCTCACGTTAGCGCGCGAAAATTTAAGTACGGAGTGTCACCTTAGATGTCGTTTTTGTCACTTGACCATGTTTCAGAATTACGAGGTCCATCACTGTGCAACTTCGAAGTCCGAGGTTAAAAAAAAATCAAATCTATTTTTCACAGTAAAATTCTTTGATTATCCTTAATAAAATTTTTTACAGAAACGAGTTTTGAATTCTAGTCTCACAAATGACTAGGTTCCAGTGACGCACACAAGGGAAGGGTCCTGGGGTCTGGACCCCCAAAACCCATGATTTTTTCCGATTGATTATAATTCTAAGTATATAGTACGTTAAATTTAACTAAGTATTTGTTATTAATGAACTTAATTTTTATTAATTAATGCTAATTATTTATTCAATTACAGTAGTTTTTACTGTGTTTTGTTCCCGAAAATGAAACAAGAATCAAAGGCATGATACAAGATTGGTGAACTTTCGAACCAGCTCCCCCTCTTGAAAATTCTGTGTGCTTCTGCTAGGTTCATATTGTGAGCGCTAATTTGTTACTTAAAATAAAAAGATATAAAAGAATATTAATTACTACTGACTGCTTACAATATTTTTAAACCAAAAACTTTTTTTTTTTTTTTTTTTTTTTACAGCATTAGGTTATTTTACACGGGAGTGTTTTTTGTCCTCTTCACAAATTTTAAATGTAGTTCAGTCACAACATCCTCACTGGCGTAGTGCGGAAAGTTAGAAAGGTGGGTACCACAAGTTGAGTAATTGACCAAGACGGGATGATAATCACGTTTCGAAGCGCGTTGTTTTCGGATGGACGTTTTGTTGTATTCTGAAGGTAGAAACCGGCAAAATTAAGATTATATGCAATGTCGATTTGATATGATTATGGATTAATATAAGCCCAGTATCAGAGTGGTAGAGTATCGTGCTTTCACACCATAGGTCCGGGGTTCTATCTCCGGGCTGGGTAAGGTTAATTCAGCCTTTCATCCCTTCAATGGGTCGATAAATGAGTACCAAGCTTGCTTGGGGATTAAACCCTGGAGGTTTTCGCGTCAGATTGACCACCTGACCGGGACATCTGCTCATGCACCTCAGCGTAGAAGGTCACGAATACCGAGATGAGCACTGTAGGGCTTGGTCTTTATGGGCTGAGTTTAGTTTTTGGATTAGTATAGATAAGATTCAACTAGTAGATGACATCCCCCTGAGCTACCATCTCCTTTTTCGTAAACAGAATATCCATAACTGAGAACTGTAATCAGATATTCAGCTTTAATTTTGATACTTTTTAATATGCAAGAAAAGAGTTTGTAGATGCTCCTTTAATTTTGAAAGAACATAATATGCTTAAATTCTAAGCAGAATCTGAAACAATTAACAAATCTTACAAGATAAGAAAAGATAAACTAAATACAATTCTTTCACGATTACACACACGCCATATATGTGCACGTGGGTGCGATATAATGTAGGATAAACAAAAGAGTTGTAGAGGCTGATGCATTATCTATAGGTGTAAGTGCTATAAAAAGTGAAATCACTCATGAAATGAATAAGCATTTTACTGATTTTTTAACTCAAAAAATTATATATATATATATATATATATATATAATTAAATTAGATTTAAAATTAAATTTTCTATATAGCACTTGACTTTATTTTTCATTACATCTTTAAGAGTTATATTAATCACCCAATTATTTCTCCGAAACATAGGCAAACTTCACTCATTTCTGATCCCAGATCATTTCATTTAATACCCTATATGTCAGCATTAACTTCAAATTACATATAAAATCAGAGTTACTTCTCACATCTGGTTTAATGGTAAAACAATAGATTTCACTTTTGGTTTTTCTCTTATATATATATATATATATACACACACAATTTGTCTGTTTAAAAAAAGTGTGCAAATTCTTGATAAAAAAAAATTCCATTTTAATTGAGGTATGTTTTTTCTGACTTACAGCAGCATTGAACGCTTGTTTAAAAGAAGGTATATATCCGGTTATCAATGAAGTACTGGGATAGTCTGCTCCTTCAGAAGATTCTAGCAATGGTACCATTTTTAAGAAATTACGACAGAATGGAATGTCGTTACTGGTTTGCCTAATAGATATATCAGGACTTCTACAAATTGAATCATGCACATGATAAACAGTGTCTTCTATCACGAAAACTTAAGGATACTTGCCAGTTTTTTTTAGATACCAAAGTTCCTGTCTCCTTTAAAAAATTTTCCCATCGATGGATAGATTTTGATGTCGGAGGGGCGACATTCCATTCTGTTCGAATACATCACAGTATACGTGTGACTGATTTAAATTCATTTAACCAAAGTACGCACTACACCTTTAACTGTGGCGTCCACATCTTTACTAATGAAATCTGTGTAAAAATTTTATCGTCTGTGATTGCCGAACAATGCTCGCACGGGCGGCCGATCGGACTAGACCCAAAAAAACTCGGATGGTTTTCCAATCCATGGATGAAGAGTGTATTGCATTCTGATGGGTAGTTCCGTAAAGATAAACCATAACTTTTGGATACTTTAAGCCTGGACACCCTGTATATTGTGGTTATATATATATACAGTCGAAACCTCCATATTACGATCCTCTATATTGCGAATTTTTCTATATAGTGAACATTTTCCTGAAACCAAGAACATTTCCCGATTTTCTTCGTAGAATAACCTCCCTATAGCGAAGTGTATTTTCTATATAAGGAACTTTTTCTCTTGGGGTCATTTTTTTTCTCTCTATTTTTGAAGTATTTCTGGACATTTCAAGTTATTCTCTCTTTTAACACATTTTATGGTGATTATTAATCTTGAACTGGTTTTATTAGATACCTAACTCTCCGAATGCAGTACGATTCTGGGTGTTTCATCCAAGGAGTACAACTTTTAACCCTACCCTCATTGTCCAGTTCAGTAGAAACATCTTCGATATCCCTTTGCACCCTCAGCGGAGTTGTCTCATGTCCTTGTGTAATGTTCATTGATCAGTCGTACTGGTAACTTCGTTTCTTGTGGCTCAAAAACGTCAAAACATAAGTACTTGAGCATATCAAAGATAAAGATTTAATTTTCAGGCAATGGATAAAGACGATCACAAAACTTTCCTTGCAGTTTTCCTTTGTTTTCTTTTTTCATAAGTAAGACACCTAAAATTAATATATATATATATTTACAAAAAGATGTGAATAATTACTTTTTTTTAAATATATAGTGTTTATGAGTTTAAAATTTGTTTTATGTTGTTTATGAAGAAAACTGAAAGATGAACCTCTATACAACGAATTTTTCATATAACGAATTTTTTTTCGGGATTTAGCGACTTCGTTATATAGAGGTCCAACTGTGTGTGTATATGTGTATATACTTAAATTAAAGCATCCTACTAGGTTCGGAGATAAATTTTTCCAAAAACTGATTTTCTGAATAATTTTATTGTTTGAAAGAACATAAAATGACTTAAAAAGTCATAATTATTAAATAACTAACATATATCACTTCCACCCCCCCCCTTTTTTTTTTTGAAAAAAAATATTATTTTTAGAAAAATTTAGCGAAAAAAAATTTTTTTTAAGTAAAGAAAAACGTGACAAACAAAAATAAATTGCACATTATGCAATTTTAACGTCATTGTGATATACTTCTTGATCCCTCTGAAGTGTCACAAACCGCAGGATAAAATATATTTTAAGAAATAAATATTTTATTAGCATTTAAATTTGATGGTCATGATTTTTCGTCAAAATTACTGCATGTTCTAAGCTAAAAATGGCTGTAAAATGTGGTTAAATGTAGCTGTCTTAAGACCTGCGGTTTGTTACACTCTGGAGGGCCCATAGCATATATTTTATAAATTTCATTGCATTTGATTGGATTATTTAGAAGATATCCCGTTTTTCGTGCACAAATTATCATGAAAAGTTCATTCTTCAAAAACGAATTAAAAAAATATTTTTATTAGTTAGATAAAGTAAATGCTATAAAAGAACTTAAAAACTCTCTAGTTTTATGTATTAGTCCTTCTTCCTCAATAATTAATTTCTGTTCTCTCTAATGACCCAAACAACACCAAGTATCAAACATCTAAAAACATTTTTAACCTAGTCGAATACCTTAAATAGAGTTTATTTTGAAATGATTACGTACTATATACTAGCTGGTAATTTATCTGGAAAAAAAAGAATAGTCTGTTGTTAAAAATCATGTTCTTAAAAT